ACAAACAGCACTCCGATAAAGTGCAGCGTTCAATCTCTGGACGCTCCAAGCAGACATATGCTCAAATGTTGAAGGCTGCATCAGCCGTCCAAGATGCAAACCAATTTTCGGTTTTGTCAGTTGAAGAATCGGACTCTGACTCATCCGATGAAGGTGATTCTACGGTGGTACACGCACCTTCAAAAATGGACGGTTCATCAAAAAGAAAATGCCCCTCCCCGAAAGTGCGCCGTAAGAAAACTAAAGTCACCTCCAGACGATTGCCAAATTCCCAGGGTAATGGGGATGAAAAAACAAAACCGAAGGCTCCTGTTGATCCAATCCCTGGATGCAGCAAGAATTTTCCGCCATTGCCCAACAAAGATAAAAAAAAATGAAAAAGCTGCTCCTCAAACTTCTCAAAAGAAATCCAAGTCCGAACGAGGTTTGCTAGCTTTTTCGGACATTGTGGAATTCATAATAAACATGTTCAACATACAAGACCCTCTAAGAAGCTTAGTTTCTGCCTTGCTTCCAACATTAGAATCATATCTTAAGCAATTGACTGTTTCATGCATCAATCATATCTTTCGATGGATAATTCGTCGAACGAGGTCGAAGATATGATCACTGTGCTACAGTGGAACTGCCGTAGTCTAGTGCCTAAACTAGACTCGTTCAAATTTTTACTTCACAATTCTGACTGTGATATATTTGCTCTCTGTGAAACATGGCTTTCTTCCGATAAAGAACTCAACTTCCACGATTTTAACATTATACGCCTGGATAGAGACGATTCTTATGGAGGAGTACTTTTAGGGATCAAAAAGTGCTACCCTTTCTACAAAATTTCCCTTCCTGCTCTATCCGGCGTCGAAATCGTCGCTTGCCAAATAAATGTGAAGAACAAAGACCTTTGCATAGCTTCAGTATACGTTCCACCAAGAACCTCCATTAGCCGTAGTCAACTCTGGAATCTAGTTTCGATTCTTCCATCCCCAGTATTAATTCTGGGTGATATGAACTCCCATGGTACTGGGTGGGGCGATCTATATGACGACAATAGAGCGGCTATTTTTTACGATTTATGTGACGATTTCAATTCGACTATTTTGAACACTGGTGAAGCGACACGTATAGCAAAACCTCCGGCTCGAGAAAGCCGACTCGACCTATCTTTGTGTTCAAGATCGCTATCATTGGATTGTCAGTGGAAGGTTATCAATGATCCCCATGGTAGCGATCATTTGCCAATCATCATTTCAATAAAGTGTGGCCCTCACTCTGCAGAACCATCTCGGGTTCCATTTGATCTTACAAGGAACATCGACTGGCAGAAATATGCAACGGCGGTGACAATCGGTGTCGAATCAATAGATGCGCTTCCACCATTGGAAGAATATCGATTCCTAGCCGATTTGATTTACAAAAGCTCACTGGAAGCACAAAAAAGAAAAGTTCCAAGTGCACCCTTTAAAAGGAGACCAGCCACACCTGGTTGGGACGAAGAATGCACAAAATTGTATGTAGAAAAATCTGATGCTTTCAAAGCTTTTCGTAGACACAAAACCTCCACTTACTTCGAGGAATATTCAAAGCTTGAGACAAAGCTGAAACAATTAATCAAAGCAAAAAAACGCGGTTATTGGCGCAATTTCGTCGAGGGACTCTCACGAGAAACCTCAATGAACACCTTGTGGAGGGTGGCTCGCAACATGCGTAACCGCTCATCTTTCAATGAGAGTGAAGAATACTCCAACCGATGGATATTCGATTTCGCTAAAAAGGTCTGTCCGGACTCAGTTCCAGCACAAAATATTCTTCGAGAAGCGTCTCCTAGCGGCGGCTCTCTGGATAGACCATTCTCAATGCTGGATTTCTCTATGGCTCTTCTTTCATTGAACAACTCCTCACCGGGAAGCGATATGATTAAATTCAATCTTCTGAAAAATCTCCCAGATATCGCTAAAAGACGCTTGCTAGATTTATTCAATTCCTTGCTAGAAAACAACATTGTACCGCCTGAATGGAGACAGGTCAAAGTAATAGCCATTAAAAAACCTGGCAAACCAGCGTCTGACCATAGCTCATACCGTCCGATTGCTATGCTTTCGTGCATTAGGAAATTGTTGGAGAAAATGATCCTTCGGAGACTCGATCACTGGGTCGAATCAAATAACTTGCTATCAAATACACAGTTTGGGTTCCGCAAGAGCAAAGGAACAAACGATTGTCTAGCGCTGCTTTCCACAGATATTCAACTGGCCTTTGCACACAAGGAGCAATTGGCTTCAGTATTCTTGGACATTAAGGGGGCTTTTGATTCAGTTTCAATTGAAATTCTGTCAGACAATCTGCACAGATATGGACTTTCCGGAATTTTAAATAATTTCTTGTACAATTTGTTGTCAGAAAAGCAAATGAACTTTTCCCTTGGACAACTGACAACTTCCAAAATTAGCTACATGGGTCTGCCCCAAGGCTCATGTCTCAGCCCTCTTCTTTATAACTTTTACGTCAAAGATATCGACAACTGTTTGGCAGAACAATGCACGCTAAGACAACTTGCAGATGACGGTGTGGTTTCCGTAAGAGGTCCACATGCCGTGGACTTGCAAGGACCATTGCAAAATTCCTTAGATAACTTATCTTCTTGCGCTATGAATCTAGGGATCGAATTCTCGCCGCAGAAAACTGAACTGGTAGTGTTTACTCGAAAGCGGTACCCAGCCCAAATGCAGCTTAATCTTTTGGGCAGAAACATTACCCAATCATTGTCTTTCAAGTACCTTGGGGTCTGGTTTGATTCAAAGTGCACTTGGAATGCCCATATTACGTATTTGAAGCAAAAATGTCAGCAGAGGGTCAACTTTCTCCGTTCAATTTGCGGCACATGGTGGGGTGCTCATCCGGGAGACCTCATAACGCTTTATAAAACAACTATTCTCTCTGTTCTAGAGTACGGCTCTTTCTGCTTTCTCTCGGCAAGAAAAAGTCACCTAATAAAATTTGAACGAATTCAATATCGTTGTCTGTGTATTGCTCTTGGCTGTATGCACTCAACGCATAACATGAGTCTCGAGGTTCTGGCAGGAGTAACACCCCTCCAGAACCGTTTCTGGGAGCTCTCTCTCAGAATACTAATCAAATGCGGAGTGACGAACACACTTATAATTGCAAATTTTGAAGAAATTCTTGGGCTGAACACACAAGCTCGATTTATGAGAATCTACCACCACTACATATCATCAGATATGTGTCTTCCTTGTTATACTCCAGACCGTGTTCACTTCACCAATCGCAGTTCCTCAATTGAATATGATCTGACCATAAAACAAGCAACTCATGGGATTCCCGATCAACTTCGACCTATTATTATTCCGCGTATTTTTACTGAAAAGTACCAACAAGTCAATTGCATGAAAAGATATTTTACAGACGGGTCCCGTCTCAATGGATCCACTGGCTTCGGTGTCTTCAATGAAAACTCTAGCGCCTTCCGCAAACTTCAGGAACCTTGTTCCGTTTTTGTTGCTGAGCTGGCAGCAATCAACTTCGCATTGGGGATGATTTCCAACATGCCCGCAGACCATTACTTCATCTTCTCGGATAGTCTCAGTTCCATTGAGGCTATTCGGTCGATGAAACCAAGTAGGCACTCATCTTATTTCCTTTCAAAGGTAAGGAAGCATATGAGTGTACTGGTCGAAAGATCATATATGATTACCTTTGTATGGGTCCCCTCACATTGCTCAATCCCAGGCAATGAGAAGGCGGACTCTCTCGCAAAGGTGGGCGCGCAGGAAGGCGAATTGTATGACAGGAAAATTTCACACGATGAATTTTACCATTTAGTGCGTCAGAGTACCTTTTCGAGTTGGCAAACCGATTGGGACACTGTAAATCTTGGACGGTGGTTACATTCAATTATTCCTAATGTTTCTTCGAGAGCGTGGTTTAAAGGCTTGGGCTTAAGTCGTGACTTCATTCGCGTGATGAGTAGACTTATGTCCAACCACTACTCGCTAGATGCTCATCTCAATAGAATAAACCTCGTGGACAGCAACATCTGTCGGTGTGGAAACGGTTACGATGACATCGAACACGCAGTTTGGCAATGTACGGATAATGACGCCGCCAGAGAGCGACTTTTGAATAGCCTCGAGGCCCAAGGAAGACAACCCTATGCTCCTATCAGAGACGTGTTGGCAACCCGTGATCTCTGCTATATGCAGTCCGTTTATGTTTTTCTTCAAATGTCTAGTATAAGAATTTAATTCCTTTTGTCTTTTGTCTCTCTTTATTAGTTTTTGTTTGTCTTGTCCCCCGTCTCGATGAGTCTCATCGTCGCCCACTGGTCACCCACCATAGCCGGTCGAACTCCGGACGAAGCTAGAACAGCACTACCGTTCATACTGGCGACAACGCTCTGATGAGACAACGAAACCCTACCCCAAGCTCCTCCCCTGATCCTATCCTTCGAAAATGTACCCTTCTAACCTCGAGTAAGCCGCGAGTAATCGGCCCAACTCCTACTAGACATAGAATTAAGTGAATCTTGTTACACACAGTGAACAATGAATTATCGGCTCCGTAAAGCTAACGCGATTGAGCCTTCCAAATAAACGAACTAGATAAAAAAAAATGTTATGACCATGCTGGAATGTATTTTTTTACCATAGTTGATAAGGTTAACATCATTGGGGTTTCATCCAGCCTGTTGATGTAAAACAACAATAAAACAATCTGACAGTAATTTTGCATAGTCATTTTGATATAAATAATAGTAAATTTAAATGAAATTGTTTTCTACAAAAATCTAATGGCGAAGATATTTCATTTAAACCAGCAATATAGTACTTTTACCAATGAATTTTGATTCAGTGTAGGGTTGATTTTCTCACCTTCTCACTTCTATCCATCATCTTTACAGTGGGACCTTTTGAATACGAGAACGCAATCCATACGATCCATCAATCTTACAAGAACGTATTCCAACTTGTTTTGATCATGTAATCTGCTGGCTGCGCGCTGCGAATCAGATTCGATATCGAGCGAGATGCATCGAAATTTTACCCTTTAAATTACTGTATTCCATTATAGTGGTTCCGTTCCCAAAATGTCCAAATTACCTAAAAGTGCATTGAGTTTAAAGCAGGTAGGTCAACCTTGTAAATCAAAACTTTATGCATATCAATGGATTGCCTTCAACGCTATTATTTCCATTTCCGCAGTTTATGCTCCGTCAGGAGGTGCTCAAACTCTACAGAACCATCTTCCGCACGATCCGGCATGTTCCGGACCAATCCAGCCGGCACGAGCTACGTGACTGGGCCCGAACGGATTTCCGAGCCAACATGCATCACACCGACGAATTGGCGATCAAAATGCTAATGCAACAAGCGAACCGATCGCTGAAAGAACTGCAGACCAGTCTGGGTTTAAGCGGACTTTCTTCCGGGCCAAAAACCGGCAACAAGGCCTAAGGATTTCGAAAGCTGAAGTAGTATTTCTTCTTGTTTAGCTTGACTTCAGGTGCTCATCCATTTGAGCTTTGTTGTATTCTTGTTATATGAATGGTTAAGAATGTTGCTGTGAATAAATTATTACCTTTGTGCTGAGTGCAGTAAAAAGTTGCGTTCACTGGGCCTTGAACTTCTCGTTGATGGCATTCTCGCCGGCGTAGATTCGCTTGGCAATCAGGTAATCCCGCGTAATTTTGAACAACGTAAAATAGTTGGCCAGCAGGAGGAAAGCGATGGAGATGAGATTGTGCCATTCGCGCGATAGGCACAGGATTAGCAGCTGAAAAGCGACCAGGGCAATCTGGATGCCAAACAGAACCAGATAGATCAGTGCTGGGTTCTTAAAAATGACCTGTTTGGATGAATGCGTTAGAATAAATGGAACTAATTCTATGTCAGGAATACTCACAAAGAAACGAATATGACTGTTGTTGGCGGGGATTGCTGACGTGCAGTACCCAGACGCTCGGTAGATTTCTCCCATGTGCCTCACGTAAGCTCCGTACGGGAAAATAGTCGACTTGGACCATGCGTAGGGCGGTGGATGGTGCGTCCGGTGGGTCATTCGATTCCACTGTCCCAAATGCAATGCTGCTCGATGGAAAACATCGCAGTACTTGACCGGAAAGCAATAAGCTACGCACATTGTGAACCCGCCGATGAAGATGAATCCGAGATGCTGCGTTGCCCAAAAGATGTCGTAGTATAGATGCTTTGGAACCAGCACGCACGGAACGAATCCCGAATAGTACGCATTCAGTACGGACGTGAAGATGATCTGCTTGAATCGGTTGTTGAAATCCGTTTTCAGTGCATCGATCTCGGCCCGGACCGAAATGGCATTCGACGAACAGCTGTGAACCGGCATTCCATTGATGCAGTTCGCTTCCGTATCGACAATGGTTCGCAGAAATTGTTCCAGATTGAAGCCGAAAATCGTCAGATACAGAACGAATGGATACGATAGGCAAAACAAATAGAGGTAACTGTTTTTCTGGAAAATTTGAATTCCACACCCGACGAACGAGATCACGACGCAAGCCAGGAACACGTACTTGGCTATCTTCTTGCTGATTTCTACGTAAGCTTCCGGGCAGTTCAGATCAATTAACTTCAGAATGCAGCAATACAGCAACCGCCGACTGGCCATTACGTAAATGAATATTGCCAAGTCCCAATCGATTAGATAGAAGTTCTATAGTTGGAATGTTTCAAAATTAATCAATAGATATCTACTTATTATACCTACAATCAATCGCACTTACCACTGCCTGCCTGTTGTAGGAATTTGGCAGCCACCATACAGTTCGATACAAATGAATGAACTGCGTCGCACTGGCAATGATCGTAAATCCAAAGATCAGAAATTCATTCACCAGCTCCGAACTGTGCTCGACGTTTGGGAATGGGACATGCTTCGGAAACGGGGTCCCAAAGCTAAACTGTACATCTTCGTCGCCGTTCATGGTGGAGTTGCCGCCCCCGTCTTCCGCATTAACCCCAGCAGCACCTAAGCCGGCAGCTCCCACACCGCCCAAGCCACCTGCGGGATGTTGGAAATGTTGCGGGGGTGGTAAATGTGCCCGGTGACCCGATAATCGGGGGATTCTCCGGTTCGATACGGTCATTTTCGGAGCACTTGATGATGGACACTATTTTGCGTAGGATTTTAGTTCATTGTACAACAAATTTTAGCAAACAACAGGAGAGAATCTTTTCTTCGGTTTTTGTTTTGAGTTGAGGATTACTGTTTTGTTTTTTTGCCCGCAGTAAACGTTTTTGAAGTTTCGGGCAGTGTTTGCACAGTGATGGTAATAAAAATCGAGACAATAAAAATGATCTGATCTCGTGAACGCATTCCAATAATTACACGGAAAAATAAATGTGATGCAAATCACAAAGGGGGAACGACATTCATTTGGATGCATTTTTTCAGTCTAGTAATATTATTGATGGGATTTTTAATTTTAAGGTTTGTAAGTGCCATCTTATTCTTTATGATAATATTATTATTAATATTTAAAAACAAACATGATTTTGTATCGGTAATCTAGATTGATAGTAAACTTAATGTTACATTTCTACGAGCATTTATATCAGTTTTTCGACAGCAGTTTCTATGTTTGAACCTTGAAGGAACATGTTTAACGACCTTTTGTGCGTAGAACTCAATCATAACAAAAGCTTCCCCAACCCAAAGCTTTGAATAAGTAGAATCAAACATAATCATTGGATTGGTGCTGTTTATTTGATCTATTGAACCATTTCATGGAGTTCTTCGCTAGTTTTAGGTCGGGTCGTTACGCCACGAAGTATTTTACTTCTAGTAGCATTTATTTGGGACTTAATTCATAACTATTGATTGGGAAACAAAGTAAATAATGTGTACTTTCTATTGGTGCCCATAACCTATTATCACAGACAAACAGGCATAACACTCACAGTCACATTCGTCGCAAATAAGGTTTTAGTTGCTAATGTCGAGGGTAATGTGCCCATAATTGTCATCGTGGCGCCATGAAGCGTTACCCTAATAAAAAATAACCATAAACGAACGATAACCCAAATCATTGAACTATTCCACAAATGGTTTGGATGATACCCAGAACACGTCGTTAAGCAAATTAACCATACAATTTTTATTAGGGTAAGCAATCCACTACATTTCGAATGGTCAATTTAGTAGCCGTCAGCTATTGAGAATGATAAGAGGACCAAAGCATCCCACTGTAGACATATGCAGTAATGACCCGATTTGGTCAGCCACCTTTTTGCAAATCTTTTCTTATGTTCTACGAAACTTATGGGCTATTTCAGTGGTCTTATTGCTCCTAAGTATACCTTAAACACCCATCTTGAAGATGCATGAGAATGATTTGGAATTACGATTTTATGAAATTATTTAATGATAAAAGTCTGATGCGTCTCAAAGACCAGAAGGTCCCGCTCAACTTTTTAGCTCAGCTCTGGTACTCTCTTCGGCCCCAAGCTAATCGATGCACCCCTCGAAACATAGGAGAATCCACGAGCCCTTCAATTTATCTGTCAAACTTTCATAGCGAATCAAAACAAACATAGTGTAGTACTAGAATTTCGACTAGAATGGATTACGTCATCGATTTACTTGGGACCGATAGGCTAGTCCAGTGTGAGCCAATTCAAAATCGTTAGTTTTCACCGGTTGGATCTGGTGCGAAAGGCTTTGGTGTTTCAGAACAGGTTGATCGAAGTTGGGAAGGGGGTGGCATCGTTCCGGAAGCTGATTGAATAGATGACTATGAAGGGACTGCTACTGGTCACAATGCCGATTCGGAATGTGATTAGTGAGTTGCTTAGTGGGGAGAGCGAGACCTTGAAGGAGGAAGTGAAGGGAACTTTGAAAACGTAGGTAGATCAGCTTGGGGCGGGGAGATTCTTGACGGAACTGAAATCACAGCTGAAGGAGATTAAGTGGGATTGTAAGATGTTGATTGGACAGTTGCCTGGTAAACTAGCGCTTGAAATAGAATATTCCACTGGCGGGACTTCCCGGAGAAGTCCCGTCGAAGTGTAAAGTGACCGGTGTTTTCCACGGTGCCCAGCGATTAGAGCATTTCAACATCGCGATGTTTGCAATAATCCTCGTAGAACTGATCCGCACGAACTCAATGAGGTACGAATATTGATTCAAAGGCCACCATGGCCGTAGTAGTTTTACCAGTGGTCGTTTAGCGTGTTTGATTCCGTAACGCTTCACCACTTCGTTGATGACCCAACCGACATTCAGTTCCACGATTTGTTCCTCATCGTAACTGACATCGATGATCACTCGGACCATGTTCGGAGGTAGAATCTTCACCGGTGTTTGCTTTGCAACCATCGACAGCGCCCAAGGTGTTCGCTGGCCTCCACTGCTTTCCATTTGTCCAATCGTTGGACTGTCTGACCGTGTGAACATATTAAACCCCACCTCCACCAGAGAAGTCTGATTCCGGTTGAAACTCCCACTCGAACGCTGGCGACGCATCGTTGACTGAGTCGATGGCTTTCGGGAGAAACTTCTCCCGGAAGCGTTCATCAGAATCTGAAGAACATCTGGACCACTTTCCTCTGATGATGCACACTCGCTTCGTCTACTTCCCAACTAACAATTTTCACAATGTAAACGCTTTACTCATTTCATTTATACAGTCTCAAGCTGTATTCAAACGTTATACGATATGAGGAAACCTTTACTCAACCTCTATACAAGCAAATCTGGCGAACTTAGTCAGCTACTTATGGCTGTTGGAACGGTCGGGAGGAGCTCTTATTGCATATCCATTAACGCTTCTATACAGCTGTTATCCTGCTGTTTAGTTGTGTGTGAACTTGAAAGGCGCTTATTCAAACTTATTCAACCCAGCTTTCTCTTGAAGCCGGGTTAAATACTGTTTACGCTTATTTTTATGAAGGAATTTGTTGAGTTTATTTAGCTGTGAATCAAATTAATCGAAATTAGTTACAAATCATCACCAAATTATTTATCCTGCACCGGAACCTGGAATCGAACTCGAGACGACCTCATTGGCAAACCTTGACACTACCAACTGTGCTACGCCAACACTTTGAACTTATGTAAACAAATCAACATTCCCTTCTACAACAAAATCGCTGAGTAGAGGCTTTATAATAGTGCACATGAATCACTTTTCTCGACTAGTTATAAAAGAGCAGAGTAAAAGCTGTAAAACTGCACACGTCTAAAAATAAACCTAGTTGACTGTGAAAATGCTTCCGAAGTTGCTCTAACCCAGTTTATAAGCTGAGTACAGGTTGTTTAGTTGTTGAAAAAGCACTTTTGATGTGTATGTTATTCAGCAAGAGTTGTTGGTTGTGTAGAAGCCATCAAATGAGTTATATATTCACTTTGTTAGCTTTGTTTTGCAGCTACAAGTTGAAAGTTGGATAGTGTGTGTATAGAAGTGACATTAGCGTTTATTGGCTGATGTTATTCAGTGCGACTGACAAATTGAATAATGGTTGTGAGAAAGTTGAGTAAACGCTCTCGAAAACTATTTTGCTAGCTTTTGCTTGTAGCTGTATCTGCAGCTTCTTTTCAGCTACTTTACAGCACAACGCTGGAAAAGTTGGCTTACAAAGCTGAAAATGTTAGTTGGGTTACCACCGTCACCTGTGGTTCATCCGAGTCCTCATCATACTCCAATCCAGTAGAAGTTATTGTCCTGTTGGAAATTGGAAGTGCCTCCCTCGGAGAAAGTTCTCGCTGGAAGATTAGATTCGGTGGCCGAAGCCGTTTCTTATTAGGTTTAGTGTAGTCCATTTTCGATAGAATTTGAGAGCATTGAACCAACAATCAATACGAAACTAACGATTTTAAATTGGCTCACTACTTGACTAGCCTATTGGTCCCAAGCAAACTATTAACGTACCCTATTCTAGTAGAAATTCTAGTACTACACAATGTTTGTTTTGATTCGCTATGAAAGTTTGACAGATAAAATGAGGGGTTAGTGGCTTTTCCTATGTTTCGAGGGGTGAATCGATTAGCTTGGGACCGAAGATAGTACCAGAGCTGAGCCAAAATGTTGAGCACGTTTCTTCGGGACCTTCTAGTCTTAGAGTTACCTCTATGATTGAACCGAGAGTCACGAGATTTAGGATCTGGGATAGGATTCCACTGCTTGTTGTTTTGTTTCTTCCAAAGAAAACATGTGAACTGTCAAATTAACCGGGTTGCCAAACATATCATTATACAAACAAAAAAAATCAGTCTGATGACCGACACGCTCGGCACTGCCGGCACACGTGAGGCACACTGAGACAAAAGTTGACGCAAAATAAGTGTGTAGATTGACCACCCCTTGCGTTCTTGTACACCTGAATAAAGGCTTATCAACAATCAATACGAAACTAACGATTTTAAATTGGCTCACTACTTGCCTAGCCTATTGGTCCCAAGCAAATCGATTAACGTACCCCATTCTAGTATAAATTCCAGTACTACACTATGTTTGTTTTGATTCGCTATGAAAATTTGGCAGATAAAATGAGGGGTTCGTGGATTTTCATATGTTTCGAGGGGTGCATCGATTAGCTTGGGACCGAAGATCGTACCAGAGCTGAGCCAAAAAGTTGAACTCGTTTCTTCGGGACCTTCTGGTCTTAGAGTTACCTCTATGGGCTTATCATCTTCAGATTTCGTCTTCAAGAAGTACACGCGACCGGTCATCAATGAAGACACATAATACCAACTTCCCGATGGTGATCGAACTTCCATTGGTTCCACCACGTCCGAGTGGATAACTTCAAGTAGTTCTTCAACTCTTGATCCGCTTTATACCGAATGGTATGAACTGCACGTCGTGAACAGGAATTACATCTTCATGCCACAGGATACAGAATAGCCGTTCCACATGCTTCGATCTACACGGGAAAAAATCCAATCACAAAAACAAGAAAAATGACTCATGATTTCATGAACATAGCGTGTTTTCATGTTATGAAAATACACCATGAATTATATTTATATTTATATATTTATATATCATGAGTTATTTTTGAGTAACGCAGTCAAGATTCCCGAAATCATGAATCATCCGAGTTGAAACCATGAACTAAATTCATGAATTTAACTTTCAGTTTTTACCAAAACATGTAAAACAAAATAAAACATAACGTCAGACAGGATTCAAACCAAGAACATTGGGATCATTGAACCCATAATTGAACCACTAGACTATCAGTACTTGTATAAG